TTGGGGGGACCTGGACATTCCTGGCATAGAGAATGTGGCTCAAGTTAGAATAATAGAGCATAATAGTGAAGCCTGTTGATAACTACTGCTTTATGTATGTATGCATAAACATACACAATGTATTCATTGCTCATAATTAGTTGGCCTCTGTACAATTAATTGTGAAAGGGGACATTCCTATGTCATAGGTACTCACTCAAGGTCCATGGAGCGTAAGTGCTTTTCCCAGGGTCACAGTCAGTGGTGGATCTGGGAGTCCAGTGCTAAGACCCGCTTTCCAATGCATGAATAAGTCCAGCCTTCAATGTTGGAGGGCAGATGCTGGTGAGCCTTTCAGACCCCTGAAAGTTCTGTTGCTGGGGCAAAGAGGAAAGCTTTGAGTGTGTCTGTAAGCTAAAGGTAAAGTGGGAGATCATGGACCCAGTCTCTTTCACTGGAGCACACTCTGAGCTAGCCCTAGCTCTAGGTTTGCAACCAGCTTGATTGCATAGTCCCTGGCTATGTCAGCCTGGATTCTTTGATCCATCTGTCACAAAAGAACCTTGACTCTATGACAAATCAGAAATAAACATCACAGTGGTTACTGGAAAATGGATTCTGTCTTGTGACCCACTCGATTGATACCTGGGGACCAAAAGAGCCACTCAGCATTCATCTTGTGCTGTTTATAAGTAGGGTTCTTAGGATCCAAAGACTCCAAGAGCTGTTAATAAACAGAAAGACAAGTCTCTAGAAGTGTGGTTCTCAACCTTCCTAACACTGCAACCTTTAATACAGTTCCTCATGTTGTGGTGACCTCACCCATAAAATTATTTCCTTACTACTTCATAACTGTAATTTTGCTATGGTTATGAATTGCAGTGTAAATATTTGATATGCAGGCTATCTGATATACGGCCCTTGTGATAGGGTTGACTCACAGGTTGAGAACTGCTTCTCTAGAGTATTTATAGGAGAGAGCATTTAGAGGGCTTAGAGACTGAGAGCACAGCTAATTACTGCTTTAGACAAAGATCCAAACCCCAGCATTCTCCAGCTGAGCATAATTAAAACAACTTAAGGACATGAAGTAGGGAGCAGCAGTCACTTGTGATCCTAGCACTTAGAAGATGGGGCCAGGAAGATCAAGAGTTCAAGATCACCATCCATCACTACATACGGTATTCAAGGCCAGCTGGGGCTACAGACCTGTCTCAAGCAAGCAAACATCCAGTGAAGTAAGAGAAATGATGAGTTCCCATGGATTCTGAGTCTTGATCTTATTCTTTTCAATGTATTATTTTCCATACATTTTGACAAGGTATTGACTCTCGTGTAATACTATTAAATACAAGTACTGACCTAAAGAAAAGTGTTCACATTTTCTCTAGTGTTTACTTTGAAGGAGAAATATATTTTCCTTATGTGTTCATGTAGAGAGATTTTCCAGAGATGGGTCAGAAAACTGACACATTTTCTCATGTTGCATGTGCTAAAAAAGGATGGGTTTTTATGTTTTTACTGTTACCATTTTTCTTTCTCTTCCTTAGTATTGGTGATGGAAGCCAGGTGTCTGTGAGTTACATTTCCAGTCCTAGGTTTTATTTTTAGACGGCTGAAAGAAAATTAAACTGTTTTGATCACATATCTTATATATTTTTCTTTTTTTTTATTCTTTTTTTTTTTTTTTTTTTTTTTTTTTTTTTTTTTTTTTCTCTGTAGCTTTGGAGGCTGTCCTGGAACTTGCTCTGTAGACCAGGCTGGCCTTGAACTCACAGAGATCCACCTGATTCTGCCTCCCAAATCATATTCTATGGCTGCTCTTAATTTACAAAAAAGTTTTAAAGGAACTGTAATAGGAATTGTCTGCAAAGACTAAAACACTTAACTGGATATAGTAGTGGTGCACTCCTTTGACAAGGCAGAGGTAGGCTGATCTCTGTGTTCAAGTCCAGCCTGGTCTACAGAGTAAGTTCCAGGACAGCCAACGCTGCACAGAAAGCCTGTCACAAACCAAAACCAAAACCAAAAACGAACAGAGATTAAATCACTTGTTATCTGGATGTGTACTAGGAAAACAAACACAATTTCTGAAGACCAGGGGACCAAATTCTCCTTTCTGAGGCTAGACAGGCAGCTTGAATTGACCATTTTCAGCTCAGCAGGTTTCTCTCTCGGTATTAAAGGACAGTCTGTCCCCTGCTGGCAAGGGCAGACTGGAAGCAGCAGTTGTGGTGAGAAGAGTAGATTCAGACTAGTGGTCCTCAACTACATTTGGTTTTTGCTTTTTTTTTTTTAATTTTAATTTTTATTTTTGACAATGTAGACCTGGCTGTCCTGTAATTTACAGAGAGATCTGCTTCCCCTAGTGCCGGGATTAAAGGTTTGTGCCATCATGCACAGCCCCGACTTACTATTTGCCAAAAATAAAGCGGATTTAGGTCTGGGAATATAGCTCATAATATAGCCACCTGTGTGGGACCTTCAATTTAATTCAGGCACTAGAAAAGAAAGTCAAAGTTTTAAAAAGTGTACTGAGGTGTATGTAATTCACTGAGAATAAATTGCATATACCAAATACAATTTGATAGAGAGATTTTGATGTACGACCATCTCTGTAATCAAGCTAATAGGTATGTCACCCCAAAAGATTCTGTGCGACCCTTCATAGACACACCTTCTCTTGAACACTACCAATGCCCTTGAATTTTCTAGTTTTGTAGAATTATTCTGTATGGATTAATTTTTGAACTTCCTCTGCCAAGAAGTTGTCTCCAAGGTGTTTACATCAACCAGTCTATTAGCTATTTTGTTGGGGCAAACTGTGGCGATCCTGTTCTGAAACTAAACTGCTACGTTAGGTATTCAAATTGTCTCTTTGATCATCAATGTCTTGTAAAAATTCTGTATTTTACTGAGTTTTCTAAAAGTATATGAGCCAAATATGTATCAGCTCAACAACGATGACCTTTGGCCACTGTTTAGGTCTAAAATGTCCTTGAAAGTCTAGTGTGTGGAAGGTTTGATCCCCAGACCCTACTTCTGTGGGAAGGCCCTGGAATCTGTAAGAGGTGGGGTCCGGTGGACGGAAGTGACCTCACTGGGGTGCGTGCCTTGCTCGCTCTGCTTCTCCACCCGCCCTGGGAACCGTTTCCCTCTGTCCAGGGGGGTTGATGCTCAGCCTGGCCCCCAACTCTCACTGCAAGCAGCTCACAGAGGTGGACTGAACCGGTGAGTCAGAATAGACCCTTCCTTTTTGTAAATTCATTATCTCAGGGATTGTGGTCAGCGACAGAAAGCTGGCTAACACGTTTTTTTCCTTATGAAAACGAAAATTTAAGGTATAAAAATGTGTGTCCCCTGCCTCTTTTCTTCTCTAGGTCGGCTTCCTCCCTTGCCCCAGAACACACTTCGTTTTTTCTTAGAGGAAGAGGCTTCCAGCTCTCCTGTGTTCTGCTTTCCCATGGCTGAAGTGACTCCCCGGGAGGCAGAAGTCGGTGAACCTCCCAGCATGTGAAGGAAATTGCCCCTGGTATGGACATCCCAGTGTCTGACCGCATCTCCGGTTCCTTGGGATTTGTCTTGGCCTCTCTCTTGGCCTCCATCCTTGGGGCTAATGTCACCCTCATCAGCTGTTTCTTCCTGAACTCATCGGCAAGCCAGGGGTTGGAGAAGACCCTCTGAGCAGTCTTGGGGTTCATCCATTTTCCTCATTGTTGTGGAACCCTAGGGAAAAAGTTCCCCTAGGTGAGCTTAGTACCCACACAGTGGGGCGTGGGGGGGGGGTGTCTGTGCAGAGCTCTGCCAGTTGCCTCTCGGGCCATTCCCTGCGCACTCTGCGGGGAGGGGGAAGACATCGGGCTGTAGGCCCAATACTGAGGTGGTGCACGAAGTTCACAGCCAACCCTTTTTGTCTCGGTGACTTGTGAAGCAAGCAGTACCACTCTCCTGCCTTCATCATGTCCGGCTGGGACTTGAGGGGAACTCTGCGCCTGGAAGCCTGGGAGCTTGCTCTTGTCCTGGTCTCTGTTCAACCCTGATCAAGGCTCTGCCTGGAGTTCCCGCTGCTGTTGCTCTTTCAACGGACTCATTGGGTATTGGGGATGGGGAGGGGAAGCTCATGTCAACATTTCAAGTCCCAACTTGAGGGAAGACGGTTGCCCTGGCATAGGGACCCCGCGACCAAAATTCATACGTTGAACTCCTAACCTCCAAATTCTAGAATGTATGAAGAGATGAGCCCTTTAAGAAACTCAAAATGAGGTCGTCAGGGTGGGTCCTAATCCAATTTTAGTAGTATCATGAGGTGACTAGGCCCCACAGAGGGTTCCCGGGGCACACTGGCCCAAAGGGGAAACACGGAGAGGGCTATCTGTAGGCCCAGCAGGCGGGGCCATGTGGGACCTTTCCAGAGCTGACTAGGGCTTTGCCTTCAGGGATGATGCTACCACCCACGAACTCAGTAGATTAATGGAGTGTCTTAGCAGTGGGGCTGCTGTAAGGGCCAGTTTGGTGAAGTCTTTTGCATGCAATGTCCTACACTGCTAGCAAGGCTGCTGTCAAATGCCAGAGCCATGAGCCAAAACAATACAACTTACACAAGCTGTGGTATTGTGTTAATAGCAATAGAAAATGCACTCAGACAAGTGTTCATATACGAGGATCATATCCGGATTCCAGGGACTCAGAAAATGGCTTTCTCATACTTTTCTGTAAAATAAAAGACTGGAAAAGTGGCTAACAGTGGAGTATGTAGAAGACAGATTGGAGAAGGCTGGAGCATGCCCTTAGGCAGCTGCACATCCCAAACAAGCAAATACATCGTTCTCGAATACTTGGTGCTGCGAATGCCCTAGTCCTGGCACAAGGTACTCCACTGATGTGGGGCTCGTTGGTGAGGAGTACAATTTTACATCCCCACAGGTCTAACACTATCCAGTTAAAAACTCAAATGATTAAAAAAAAAACTACCCCAACAATGATCTGGTCTAGAAAAGGGCAAAAACAACACAGCCACTCCCTTTAACGCAGAGACAGGAAGTCCTGTTAGTTCAACATTTATTAATGAGATTCAACACTTTTGACCCAGACAATGTCAAACACTAGAAAAATGAGTCAACATATACATGTTTACAGAGCAAAATATTTCTCAATTCCCAAGATTTATCTCACAAAGTATGGCATGAAACTAATCACAGTATTAAGTATTCAAGTAAAATTCTGTTTTTAAATAGCTGCACATGGATAAAACTGGGACCCAGCCTCCAGAGAGGCAAGCCCAAGGGACTCAATTTGAAGGTTGTGATATCACAATCACAAAATAGGCTTGTTTATATTGTGCGTCTGATCTTTTTCACTAGGTCCCAAAGAACAAATATACAGAAACAAGCGCTCTCTGTGGGGTCATGTTTAAAGACCCCTCAGATGGGAAAAGACACAGATGAACTTTGGCACTTTCAGTGGGCGCCACTAGCTGGAGGGAATAAGTGGTTTTCAAGGGGATAGGATTATCAGGCTGACATTTGATTACTGCCAAGAACTCCTGGTAAATGCCCAGAAAATGTATCTTCTTCACAGCAGGTGTTCAACAGACTGAAACTATGTCTCATACACACAGAAGCCAGTGTGTCCCTCTTGGTGTGAGGGGTTGTAACCTTTTAGCAGCCTTGCAGTAAATCCTTTTGATTCGCAGGCTATACTGTCTCAGCAGAGATACTCAGACACAGGGCACTGTTTTTGTGTTTATCCACAGGCACTGGAATTTCATACAATAACTGTTCTAACCCACCCCAATTCATTGGAATATATAAAATACTTTAAACTCACAAATATATATATAGCAGTGACAGGATTTGGTTCACAGGTTGTGGTTCATCAACACTTGCCCTTACAAGTCTGTGTATATATCTTCAAAAATTCCACCCATCACATATCTTATTGAATAATAACAAAGGTTCATTAAAAACACTTCTTAGCTGGGCATGGTGGTGTAGGAGCAAGAGTTTCAAGTTGAACTTGAACTATATGAAACCCAAACTCAAGAAAAACCCCTAAAAATCCAAAAAAAAAAATGATTTGGTGGAAACATGCCTATAGTAGCAACTATTTGGGAGACTACGGCAGGAGGATCATTTGAGCCCAGGAGTTTAAGGCCAATAAGAGCTGTTTAAAAAAAACAAACAAAAAACCCTAAATATTGTCTTCCTATAGCCCCAAACCATTTTTCTAAGTAAGATGTTCTTTCATGTTAACTTATTTTCAGTGGTGATTAATCCCATGGCCTCCAGCATGCTAAGTATATTTTACCAATACCCACCCCATTAATTTTATTTTTATTTTCCAAGACAGGGTTTCTCTGTGGCTTTGGAGGCTGTTGTTCTGGAACTAGCTCTTGTAGACCAGGCTGGTCTTGAACTCACAGAGATCCTCTGCCTCTTACTCCCGAGGGCTGGGATTAAAGGCATGTGCTACCAATGCCCAGCTCTACCCCATTATTTTAATCACAAAAAATTGATTATGTTTATTGTAACAAATGTCTGGGCCAGTGATATACACAGTGAGTCAAACATGCACATAAAAGTAAAAATTTGCCAAACCCACTGGCTGACCCTGTTTAAAGATGTACTTGAAATGACTTATATTCATATCTTAGCATGTATATTCATTTACAAAATAAAGGCAGAGCACTTATATTAATTGAAAAAGATGGACACAAATCTTAAAAATATTGGGGCTAGCAAGATGACTCTGCAGTTAAGCACAGTGGCTGCATTTTCAGAGGACCAGGGTTCACTTCCCAGCACCCACATGGTGGCTTACAACCATCTGTAACTCAGCTCTTCATGATCTGATGCCCTGTTAAGGCCTCTGAAGGTACCAGCATGCATGCACACAGTCATACATGCAGGTAAAAAAACCCACATCCATAATAAAATAATGATTTTAGTTAGCAAATGCAATAGAAACCAACTGCACACTATAGAAGAAAGAGAAGGGCAGAAACAGACGAACATGTCGAGCTGTGGCTCTTGTCACTTGGGCAGGGTCCCTAGGAGGCAGATTTCTACTTCTTGTGCACAGGGACCTTTAAAACCATGAAGTCCTTATTCGAAGCTCCCAGTGGCTTGGGACTTAGTAGTGTTTAGGAATCACTGCAGCCAGCTCTGTTATCGTCCATGTTATCTCATTGCCAGAGCATCCATAGAGTATGTGAGCGACCTCTGTACACAAGGAGGGGCAGGGAACAGGGAGCTCCATTGCTGCCTATGGGGAATAAACAGCTTCTAGGTAGATGGGAGGCTTGTTGACAAGAACCTAGAATTTTCCTCATTTAAGTCATTTCAAAGTGAGACCAACACCAGTTATGGGGAGCTTGTGTGTGTGGTGTGTGTGTGTGTGTGTGTGTGTGTGTGTGTGATGCACTTGTGGAGGTCAGAGGACAACTTTATGGAGTTGGTTATCTCTTCCCACCTTTATGTGAATTCCAGAGATAGAACTCAGGACTCAGGTCACCAGGCTTGTCCAGCAAAGCTTTACTCACTAAGCTGTCTTGCAGGTCCCTGTGTGGTTTTTTGTTTGTTTTCTTTTTGAATCATGAACCATAAGTGCTTTTACTAGGGCAAAGGTGCCTGGGATTCATGGCTTCACCTCTCTTCCACAGGGGACTGGCAATTGTGGAAATCATTTTTCATAGTGATGAAAGTATTTTTTCTCTTCTGGAACTTTAGCAGAAGCTGTACCCAGTGACAGAAAACCTGACTCAGTTATAGGCAGGTGAACAGATGGACACAGGGTTTCTTCCCTCCACAAAGCTACCACCCAAGTTCAAAGCAGGGCAGGGTGGTACCATTCATAGTCAAAAGTGTTCAGCAGCATTTTCATTATTTGTGAAGTCTTTTCACTTCCTTGAGGCCCACAATGTCCTTTGAGCCGAGCATGACTCTCTACAACTGGGACATGGTCTCCTGAACAGAACGTCCAGGCAGCAGAAGTGCCCAGCACAGGAAACAGCTGAGAGTCCATGCTTCCCACTGGCCTGGCCTGGTGGTGCAGGCCTGTCAGGAAACTGAGGCAGGACAGTAAAAAGCTCAAGGCCAGCCAGTGTAACTTACCAAGACTCTGCCTCAAAAGTTAAAATGAAAACAAAAACCCGTTGGGGATAGTTCATCGGTGGAGCCATGCTAGTACACACAGGCCATTGGTTAAACTCCTGGGGGGGAAAAAAAAGCCATGCTTTCCATCCTACCAAACCACCTCTGAGGACTTTTGCCCCCATCATGGGTTGATTTTCTAAGAGAAATAAAATGAAGCATAAGCTCTAAGTTTAGGGAAATGATGACTTCCATTTACCCAGGTGTGGTAGAGCACACCTGCAATCACAGCACTTGGGAGGCTGAAACAGGAGAACTGTAAGTTCGAAGCCAACCTAGACTACTTAGTAAGACCCTATCTCATAAAACCAAACCAAATGAAGATGAACAAAAACAAACCAACTCTGCTCTCAGCAATTAAGAAAGCAGCCCAGAGCTGGATGGTGGTGGTGCATGCCTTTAATCCCAGCACTTGGGAAGCAGAGGCACGAAGATCTCTGAGTTTGAGGCCAGCCTGGTCTATAGACTGATTTCCAGGTTAGCCAGGCTATACAAAGAAACCCTGTCTTGAAAAAAAAAAAAGGTAGCCCAAAAACATTTGACATGGTACAGGCAATCCTGAGCCATTTAGAAAGAAGTCTTAGGAAATCAAAGCCTTTGCCACAACCCCTCTGAACAGGTAACTGCTGATCACCAAGCTGACAGATGCCCAGTCCTGGATGTGAACCACCCCCATCCAACTGTCTATCACTCCAGCATTTCTTTCCCCTGCATTGTGGGCCCAAGCTGGGCCGTCCCATGGGTACTGGGGAGCCACTGCCCACACAGTGACTACACTTTGTGAAGGGCAGGGACATGTGAACACTCACACTGTACCTTGTCCTGAGGCAGTGGGGTTGTGCTGAGGTCCCAGTACTGGCTAGGGCCCACAGCCACAGGTATATGGCATTCATTGGTCCCTAGTTAGATAAGGGAAGGGCTAGGATTTGCATCTACGATGTGAATTTTTTAAAATTCATAATTCTGATTACCTGCTTGTTTATTTTAAAAATGTCCCTACAGATCTAAGTAGCTTTATTATTTTTAAAGAGGTGAAGAACCCTACAAGCCTCCATAACACACATACTTGACCTCCAGATACTCGTCAATACCATACTTGGACCCTTCTCGCCCAAGGCCAGACTGCTTCACCCCACCAAAGGGACACTCCACTGAAGAGATCAGTCCTTCATTCACGCCAACCATGCCCACCTCCAGCTGCTCTGCCACTCTCCAGATCTGGGCTGGGTCTTGAGAGTAAAAGTACCCTAGCAGAGGAACAAAAGGACACATACAGCATGAGGAATTATCATGAAGGTCACATGTGCCTGACTCTGAGGCTGTCTGGTCGTATGGACCTGGGGTTCTCCTGCTTGCAGGAAAAGCCTCAGGTTGGTTTTGTCCACATTTCCATCCTAAGAACCTTGGGCACCACATTGGGTTTCTGTTTCTACCAGGACTTTATAACCGTGAACTTCTGGGCTCTTGTTTCCTGCTCTTCAATCCATCCTCCTTTAGATATCTGTTCAAACCTCGAGGTCAGTCTCAGTTGTCTCTAAAACAAGGCCACATTTCTTAGTGGGCAACCAATCCTGCTGCTCTCTCACCCCCACAAGTGTGGCTTCAGTCAGCCCGTTCAGCTTACTCCTGACTCCAGTTGATAGTCACTGTCTCTAAACTCATCCATCCAGTTCAGAGTCATCCCACTCATTATCATGCTGCATCTGAACTTGCCTCTCTGACTTTTTTAATCTCTGCACAGTCAGCGTCTTACTTATCACTTAGGACCTGAGGTAAGGCATGGCTTCCTCCTCATCACACCACTGAAAAAGGAAGAAGTGAGTGTTGATCTTGAAGAAGCCATGGGCTACATGTTGCTCCAGCATCATGACAACTGGGTATGTGACATATTCAACTCCATAGCATGCTTGTCTTCCTCTCTTTATAAACAGTTTGCATTATATCCACAAAGGAGTCTCTAGAGAGCTACCGCTGTATCTTATGTGTGTCTCTACACATTTGATTTTAGCCAAAAGGCTGAAAAATTACATATGTCTGCAATGGTAGCTTGCGAGTCCAGCTTCCAAGACTACCTCCAGGGCTCAGGTCAGAAGCCACAGCATAGAGAAAGGAGTTTAGGATATTTCTAATCTGAAGGAATAACTCACACATGTGCTGTTCAAGTCATGGACTCTATTCTTCTGTCGATTTTTCTGTCCTCTAATTTTCTTCTAAGTTCTAATTCTTTCTAGTTCTCTCTTGTTTCAATTCTCTCTACTTCTGTGTTCACCTAGCTTTAAAAATATTTTTAAAAGGGGTTTAAAGCAATAAAAAATGTTACAAAAGTCACATCTCATTGGTCATAGCACATTTCTTGGGTGAGCAATAAGGGCCGAGACATATACCATGACAACACAAAATTTCAAGGTTGCTGGTGTAAGACTTTGACCAGATGCTGGGGCCACAGGGCTCAGAGAGGCAAGCTGCAAGACATATTTCTTTTATCAGCTATATTTGGCAAGTGAGGAATTGGCCTGATTTTTTTAGGCTACTTTGAGTTAATAACCTTGGTTAAACACTGTGACTCTGATCTTGTGTATAACTATAAAATTTTCCACTTAAGATCCATTTACAGAAACATTTAGTCTAGTTGAACTTGTTTTGAGGTAAAAATGAGCTAATTGTGTGTAGCTTGTCTTAGATTGAGGAGAAATTTTTTTTTTCTGATATTAATCTGAGTAAAAGGAACCAAGCAAGCTTTTAAGTGTCTTACAGTCCTCATGGGACAATAGAACTATTTATAAAGCATATCCTAGGGGCTGGAGAGATGGCTCAGAGGTTAAGAGCACTGACTGCTCTTCCAGAGGTCCTGAGTTCAATTCCCAGCAACCACATGATGGCTCACAACCATCCATTATGAGATCTGGTGCCCTCTTCTGGTGTGCAGATATACATGGAAGCAGAATGTTGTATACATAATAAATAAATAAAATCTTAAAAAAACAAAAACAACAAAAAAGAGATATCTTCTGGAAACTAATTTCAAATAAAAAAACATATCCTAATATTTTTCTATATATAAAAATTAGACATTAAATGAGAAGGCATCTTCTTGACCATCCATGGATATATGTGCCCATAAGATTGAGATGCAATCATAAGATTACATATACATATCACATGAGATTACACACTACAGGGCAGGTATTGGGGAACACCATAGCTGCTTTTGCACATGTGTGAAACTATAGACAGGAGCAACAGTTTCCAGAGTCAGTAGTTCCATAGGTCTCGACTGTATGGGATTCTCCTCCAGAGAATGATTCTCCAACAGAGAATCATTCCTTTGGTGAGTTGACATCTGAACACTAGTTATCACCTGCTGTGTACTTCCATGGCCCTTGATACCTCTGTACCCCACAGTTCTGCATTTACATCCAGGGCTAATGCGTCATCATCTCCTCAGTATCATCTCCAAACTGCAAGAACAGCAGTCACCTAGGATGATCAAACACACACACACACACACACACACACACACACACACACACACACACACACTATTAACTTCTCATCTCTAGACACTGAGTGTGACTCTGCTGATGAGGCTTCTTCAGGATATCAGTGCCAGAAAAATGTGGAAAAAAGCACTGAGCATTATGCCTCTGGGAAACTGTGTGTGACTCTCCATCTAGAAGAATCTGCACCCTTCCTCATTGTTTACCACCCTCATTTCTAGCCAGAACACTCTACATCTGTGTCACAGGACACAGGAGAAAAGGATGATGCTTGCAGAAAGAAACAAAGCATACACATTGTTTAAGTTTGCTAGGCAAGGTGGTGAATGCCTTTAATTCCAGGCAGGGAGATTTCTGGAGTTCAAGGCCAGTCTGGTCTATATAGAGTTCCGGACAACCCAGGGTTACTTAGAAAGAGCTTGTCTCAAAAAACGAAAGAAAACAAACATAAACTCAAGAGCAATGCTTAAAAGGCAGCAGCTGGCCTTTACTTGAGGAAATGACTGTTGTGGCTGCCGACAGACACCTACCTGCTAATCCAACATCAGCTGCATTTGCGATGGCAATGGCCTCTTCTTCTTTATCAAACCTGCCAGAGTTAAAGTAGGTTATAAGCAAAATCTGTATAGTGAAGAATAAAGACAACCAGCTTTATTGTGTCCTGATTCATTTCCTAAACAATGACAAGAAGCAGATCAGAGCTGCAAAGTGATCCAAGGGGATGGAATACAAATGCAGACATGTCAACTTAGCCATCTTAAAGACATGGTAAATCAATGTGGCCCACCTGTTCTAAGAGAAACGGAAAGGCAGACCAACTTGGCAGAGGCGCTGTCAAACAGAACCTTTTAAAAAAAGGGCTACAAAAAAAAAAAAACAGAAAGAAAAAAGGACTACTGGGTGATGGAGTGTTGGCTTATTGGTTAAGAGTACCTGTTGCTCTTACAGAGGACCTGGGTTTGATTCCCAGTATCCACATGGTGGTAATTCCAGTGCCTGAGATCTAAGTCCTTCCAGGCCCTGGATCCAAGTAGACAAAGGAATATTTTCAGAGCACTGGCCTGAGAATTATCCAAGGAAACTATTATTTACTTGTTAAGGTGGGATAATAGATCACATGAGGTCAAAGTTCATTTCCTACAGACTGCTAGGATAGAGCCCTTGAAGGTATGCTCCATTAGGGAAAAAAAAGTAAGTTTAGAGGCAGCATGAAACTAAAGGAAGGAGTTTGATGAATTTGTGCTTGACATTGGGTATGATGTATGCCTATTACTCAACACTTGGGAAGCTAAGGCAAGAGGTTGAGAGTCCAAGGCAAACCTGGGTTACAAAGACAAAACACAAACACCAAAACTGGGACTAGGGACTGGGGAAATACCTGGTTCTATTAGCGAAGTGTTGAGTTTGACCCTCAGAACCCATGTGAAAACCCAGTTGTGGTGGTCTGTGCTTGTAATCCCAGGTTTTGGGAAACAGATGCAGAAGTAACCCTGGAATTGCTAGCTAACCAGTCCACTCTAACTGGGGAGCCCTAGATTCCAGTGAGAGACCCTGTCTCAATATCTAAGGCAGACAGCTCCCAAGAAACAACATCCAGGGGTGATCTACAACCCCAAAATCAAACCCAAAATATCACAAACTCAACTTTGCTATTCAACAGATGCAGTGCAACTCAGACTACAGCTGCTCAGCCCTCCCACCCTACCCTTGAAACAGCACAGGGTTCTCTCTTAGGTCAGCTTGCCATTTCTAGTCTTCTCCTTCCTCCCACCATGAGGCAACGTACTTGACAACTGGCGCCAGGGGCCCAAAGGTCTCTTCAGTGATGCAGAGCATGTCCTTGGTGACATTGCTGAGCAGGGTGGGCTCAAAAAAATTTCCCCCTCTTTGGTGTCGCTTCCCGCCTGTCACAACCTCGGCCCCTTTGGCAACTGCGTCATTCACATGCTTCTCTACCTGTGAGATGAGAAGAAGGGCACCGGGACTTTTTCCAAATTTACAATCTCTTAAAATGTTAAACAGCAAAAGCTATAATTTCTTATCATTTCTTTTTCTGTTTCCCTATAAAATAGGCCTGCAAGGTGGCTTAGCATGTAAGCCTGACAATCAATGTTCAATTCCTGGGACCCACGTGGTGGAAGGGAGAGAACCAACTCTGGAAAGGCCATTGCTTCTCTGAGCTTTGCCTTCACTGCAAGCTGGCCTGGCTGTACTTTCTTAGATTCACTTGTCTACTTTCATCTGGGCGGAAGGGATGTTTAGAGACATCTCCAATACAAAGGCATTACTTAGCTATGGCAGATGGTCTGTCTCAGAAATGTGTCCTTAGCTGACTTCACTACTGAATAAACATCATATAGTATTTTGATACAAATCCAGATGGTCTAGCATGCTGCATACCTAGCCTATATGGAGTGTGTGTAGGCTATATAGGGTACAGCCTATTGCTCCAAAGGCAATGGTGAACAAAACAACTCAAGATCAAATCAAGCCTAAGGGAAAGCCCACAGTCAAAAGACATTACAGGGAATCCGGAGAGATGGCTCAGTGGTTAAGAGCACTTACTGCTCTTGCAGAAGACTCAAGTTTGGTTCCTAGCATCCATGTTGAGTAGCCTACAACTGCCTATAACTCTAGCAAAACTATTTGGTTTTGGTCATAGTACAAGTTTTTTACATCCTTTTTTTAGTTATAAAAGTTTTGCTTGCTGGGCGCACGCCTTTAATCCCAGCACTCAGGAGGCAGAGGCAGGCCGATCTCTGTGAGTTCGAAGCCAGCCTGGTTTACCAGAGCTAGTTCCAGGAAAGCCTCCAAAGCTACACAGAGAAAACCTGGCTCCAAAAAAATAAAACAAAACAAAACAAAAAGGGGGGGAGCTGGGAGGAAGGTAGTGAGGGAGGAGGAGATAAGAACTAAGTATAATAAAATACATGTATGAAAACACCAAGATGAAACCCTTAATTTGAATGATAATTTGAACAAATTAAGATATCTAAAACCAGGCTGGTGAGGTGGGTCAGAAGGAAAATGTGCCGGCTGCCAACCCTGAGAACCTGAGTTCTGTCCCTGGGACCCACATGGTGAAAGAAAGAAGGACTCTTCTGTGGCACACGTGTGTCCTGCTCCCCCCTACTCATGCTCAGATACACACCAAGTAAGTAAATGTATTAAGAATGAAGGTAAAGCCCCAGAAACACTCGTGTAACAAAGAACAATCCCCCTGCCAGTCACCCAGATTGTGATGTTCAACAAACAATTCCTTCCTAAAGTAGCTTCCCTTTGCCACCCAACCTGCAGGATGCCTGTGGGATGCCTGCGGTTCTATGTGCCTTTTCTGGGTGCCTTTGTTAGAATTCTTCTGGAAGGATATCAAGAGAAAAGCTTTCTATGACAGAAAACTTAGGGAGGGCAGAAGACCTAATGGGCCGGATCTCAGGTTCTCAGGTGGAGCCAGGAAGTGCATGTCCAGACACCATCATTCCACCATACACATTGATAGTGGTAGGAATCCTCCCCCGCCCTTTTTAAACCTTTTTGCATTTCTCCATTACTTCCAAAACAGCCTTGCTGGGAACCTTATGAAAATGCTTTTATTTAACTTAGCTTTTGATACTGACATTACAAAATTTCCTTAATGCAGATAATAAGACCAACTTACCTTTTCTACTGCTTTCTCATTAATTAATGGGCCCTGAGTTATTCCTTCCTCAAATCCATTACCCACACGCAGGCTTTTCTGCATTGCTTCTGCAAACTTCTTTACAAAGGAATCATAGATACCCCGTTGTACTAAGAATCTGTTTGCACAAACACAAGTCTAGAAAGAAGACAGAACAAATTCACAGTTTTTCAGCATTGGCTGATCCAAGAAATATAAGACACCCCTTCCGGAAATGGTTTTCATGAGTTCAGCCTTCTGTGTTCTTCCCAGGTGGGCTTGGCCCCAGGGATAAATGCACTGAGTGAAAACACTTATCCTGTTCTTCCCTCAGCTGTACACATCTAGAGCTAAACATATAAGCAAGAATAAATAGCTGTGTGAATAAAACCCAAATAACCAGAAAACCAGCCATTCATTATACTATTAGAAAGCAAATAGGGTAAAGAGCAAAGGCTGCAATGTTCCTGAGGCATAGGGACTTGGCAGCAAAGCCCAGGATAGAAGGAGGGAGGTCAAACAATCACTCATAGCCTCCCGTTCAGTCCTTCCAAGTGTTTTGATGAATCTGTGATTTCAAAAATGGATACAAGGCCTTTCTTTTGGGGATCAGCAGTTATTACTGCTCTTGTAGGAAAACCTGAGTTTGGGCCCAGCATCCATTGTTGGCCAGTTCAACAGCTGCCTGTAACTAGGTCTATAAGATCTGATTCCCTCTTCCTCTTCTAGCCACATGTGGACATACATTTACACACATAATTAAAAATAATAATTTAAAAAATGACTGGGGATAAAGTTTTGTGATAGATTGCTTGCCTGGTATATATAGGTCATGGGTTCTATTCCTAGTACCACCAAAAAACAACAAAAGAAAAAAAATTAGGAGGGGACCTGGAAAGGTGGCCCAGAGGTCACGAGTATTTACACAGGACCCAGGTTCAGTTCCTGGCACCCACATGGAAGTTCACAACAGTTCCAGGGGCTCAGATGTCTTCTGATGGCCTCCAAGGGCACTGGACACAAACATAGTCTGCATACATGCAGGCAAGAAAACATGCTTATAGAACAAAATAATTAATCTTTTTTGAAAGCTCATAAACGTGCAACTTTAGAAAGAGTTTGTTGGATGAGTATCTGTGAATAAAAAATAAAATCTTTTTTTAAGGGACCTTCTTCCGTGTCAGGTTAAATTATTGAGACTCTGACTTATTATAAGTCTAGTTAGACTTTATATTTTAAAATGATAAAATATAACCATCCTATAGGTAATGTAGTTATCATTGATAAATTTGTTTTTCCTTATTGTGTTTTCCTAGTAGAAATAATATATGTATAATTGTGTCCTATCTGTTTTTATTGGTTTAACATAGGTCCAAAGCCATAGATTTGTAGTAGAACTCTGCTGACATTTTGTGTTTCCTTAAAAAATTTTCTAATTCTGTAAAACAACAACAACAAATAAACAACAACAACAAAACTATTTAGGTTATGTGAAAAGGGAAAATTAATTACCAAGTGTCAAACCAAGGAAGAAAAGTTATAAAGAACAGTTTTCATCACCAGCTTCCCTTTTCACACATTAACTTTTGAGGCTATTTATTTCAGGAAAGCATTTCAGCAGCTCACTAGGCTGGACATAGCAGTACACACCTTCCAATTCCAGGAGGGCTGTTTCCCAGATGGCCTGTGCTACAGAGCAAGTTCAGTGCTAGGTTGGGCTATAAGGGGGAGCTCCTGTCTATAAAAATAAAGCCAATGATCTTTGGTTTATTGACTGCACTTTTAGGGGCCCAGTTGTCTAAGAGTATGTCTTAAGTAGCCAGCTTCTGGCAGTGGCTTGGGCAACAGCATGGAAATAGGAACCTTGGCTCCTAGCTCTGGGACTTTGAGGAATACCCAA